TGAGCCTTGCAGGGTGTCTCCAGGGGCAAGGCAGCCTGGGACCTGGGGGCTGCTCCCCTAAGAGCTCCAGAATCTGCCAGCTAAATGGGGAGAGCACAGTGCAGTTCAGAGAAAGGCATGGGCTCCCTCACGTGGGTCTTGAAGGCAGCCTCCTGCCGAGGGGCCCGGCTCTGGAAGTAGTGGGCCATCCAGCTCCCCAGTGTCAGGGCCCTGTACGTAGCCTCCAGGTCCTGCTGTCTTAGGAAAGCTTCCAGTGCTGAGCGGAGGTGGTGCTGTCGTCGCAGGGTGGGCACGGGGCTGGGAGAAAGGATAGGCCTCAGTTCCAGGGACTTCTGGGATCCTGACCCCCCCACCCCCCACCCGAGGCTTCAGGGAGGCCAGGTGAGTGTTACAAAAAAGACAAGAGAAAGGGTCCAGGCCTGGCCTTGACGCAGACACTCCCTCACCTGACATTCATCTTATGCGTGCGGAAGCCGAGGTAGGGGTCAAGAACAAGGCTGGTGGCCAGGTCATCGTTCTCGCACAGTTCTCGGGCTGTCACTCTGTCAGGCCCCATGGTGCTCTGAAGACCATGCTGCTTCTGGCACAGAACAGGGCACAGGGGTGTGCTCTGTGCCACTCAGCTGCTCCGAGGTGTCTGTGGGCTCCACAGCCTGCTTATCTGTAGGAGTTTACAGGGTGGAGGGGAAGCAATATTGACTTCACAGGGCGCTAGGCAAGAAGGACACCCCGTGAGAAACACTGTCTCTTGTGCATTAAACTCTCCCCTCCCCGCTTGCAAAACAGCTGCAGGTCCCCCAGTTACACACACACACACACACACACACACACACACACCACCTCCCCAGGACATGCACACTTTCATGGATGTAAGCACACACAGACCACCAAATGCACATGGAGGAGATAAGTCCCCCGTGTACCCAAGGGAAGGCAGATTAATTGGCGCTCTGAGATAACTCCAAAGGCTTAGCATCGCAGGAGGGAGTTGGGACAGCTGGGCCTCACCAAGGGAGAGTTGAAAAAAATGAACTCAATGTTTCTGCGCTTCTAGCCTGCCTTTGGTGACCCTTGCTGGGCTGGGTCTCAGCCTTCACCACCTCCCTCCAAGGTCACCCTTTTCTGGGAATGGTCAAAAGGCTGTGGGTGGGACCCAGGCACCCTGGAGCGGAGAAAGAATCCAGTACCTGTTCCCTGACTGAGAATTCCAGCAACAACGGGGAGGAAGGGGGGGGGGGATCACTCAAGGGGACAAAAACCAGGAAGAAGAAAGAGGAAACAGAACGGAGAGAAAGAACAAGTCAAGCCAGAAGGGAAGGAGGCAAGAGGGAGGAGAGGGAGAAAAGAAAATTAAGAGTCAGAAAACCAAATCCAACGAAGCAAGA